TCCGGGAAGAGCCGCGGGGAGGGAGGCGGGGCTTCGTAGGGGCTCTGAAGGAGTGGGAGGCGGGGCCTCCGGGCAGTGGGCGGGGCCACGGCGGGTGTCATTGTGAGCGGCACAAACCGCAATCGGTGACACTGACTGGACAACAGCCCGCTTGAGGGCTGAGGCGGGAGGGAGACAAGGTTGGTATGGGAAGGATTCTCGAAAATATCATGGGGTTCAGATTATTTCTCAACTAAGTCCCCTTTGTAATAGATGAGGCAAATGGGGCTCCGAGTAGTCAAGAGGTTGGCTCATGTCTCCTTCTCTATGTAATGGCAGGATTCATTGGACTACATTCACTTCTTGGCAGCTACCACTTGGTAAAACCTATGCTACCACTCACTTTGACCAATATACATGAGAAATGACATTAAAGAAGATTGTATAAATCAGCCTATCAACTTAAGAAGAAAACATCAACACATTTAAAATAAGCAATACACATGGAATTGTGCTCATCTATCCATCCATTACTTTAATCCTGTCTGGCTTATCCTACTTGCCAGATTGGTTTAGATTAAGAAAGCAATTATGGGATGATTTTTAATCAACAAGGTTTGGGTTATCTGACTAGCTTAACTGCTCTGCATTGATGGAAGATCTATTAAAAAATATTCCAATTTAATAAGGTTTGAAGAAACATGGGACCTTTCCCCTCCTGTGAATGGATTTGGTGGAGAGGTTCTTTTTATTCCCACTATATCTGCCTTCATGTACAAAATCTGGAAGTCACTTGCTTTTTTTTCCCTTCTGAGAGGAGACCTATTTTTGCCTATAACAATATTTAGAAATTTTAAAGACTATGACCCTGAATATAAATTTCAGTCTTAAGAAAATAATAGATTAACTTCTAAATGAACATGGATTTGGGAGATGATCCATTCCAGAGTTCACTCAGATAAGGTATCCATATAAATGATTGTAAAAACATTTCCATATGGAAATTAATCGTTTACAAATATGAGGTTGGAGATTCTACCTGAACTCCACAATGCATCTCTCAAAAAGGTGTCTTCAAACTGGCAAATTGTTAGTTTGTTTTAAGATCAACCTTTTTCTGAGATGTGGGTGTTTAACAATCCTGAATAGTTTGTCTCATTTTTTTTTAATCCAAGGCTATCCATAATTGCCTAAATAAACCAATGGCCACCTTGTTTTTTTGCATTTAACTAGATTTGGACTTAATTAACCATAGAAGTGAACCTCTGAACTGAATTACTTGTATAACTAGTCTAATTTAGACTATTTCAAGATAAGTAACATAGTTAAAATACAACTAAGATCTTTAGCAGAAAATTAAAAATTAAATAATGGAAGAGTAATAGTTCTTTCCAAAGATTCAAAATAAGACATAATTAAAATATAATATAGGACAGAAGTCTAAAATAACTTTACTATATAAGAACTTTTAGAAATCAGTAGAAGATAACCTTACTACAGAAAAACAAGTCTAGTCACAAAAGAAAAACTAACTTTTAAAACCAAACCTTTTTTTCCTGACATTATCTCACCATTGGCAAAAGATGCAATGAAGTGAATGTTCTATCAAGCAAAATATTGTTTAAAATGTTTGACTTGAGTCCCATTTCTAAAAAACCATCAATGTGTAGAAATATTCACTGTAAGCACCTGAATCAGAAAAAGTTTTTGTATAGTATACTACAACAAAAGACAATGAGTTTGATCAGTTTTTTAAGCTGAATTCCTCCTAAAAAACCATTCTTTGGTTTATTAAACTTTCCTAGCTAATTTACTGAATTGGGAAGAAATTTGTTTGGTTAATTTGAATCTATCTTATATCATTTAAAGTCACAGAACATGTTTTAAAATTATTTAAAATTAAAATTAACATTATTTAAATTGTAGAACATGTTTTTAAATTGTCTCCTTATATTTAAGCAGGTTTTCTTTTTTTTTTTTAAGAGAGAGTGAGAGAGGGAGAGAGAGAGAATTTTAATATTTATTTTTTAGTTATTGGTGGACACAACATCTTTTTTTTTGAGAGAGAGAGAGAGAGAGAGAGAGAGAGAATTTTTAATATTTATTTTCTAGTTATCGGTAGATACAACATCTTTGTCTGTACATGGTGCTGAGGATCGAACGCGGGCCGCACGCATGCCAGGCGAGCGCACTACCACTTGAGCCACATCCCCAGCCCACAACATCTTTGTTTGTATGTGGTGCTGAGGATCGAACCTGGGCCGCACTCATGCCAGGCGAGAGTGCTACCGCTTGAGCCACAACCCTAGCCCCAAAACTTAAAAATTTTAATGAATTCTCTTTTGAGGTGAGAAAAAGATCAGAGGTTAATTTTTCCAAGGCTTCATTAATTGGTGAGTCTAGGAGCCAAAGCTCAGTTAAGATGTTTTGCTATTTACCAGGGTATCCCTATTTTACTTCTTAGCTCAACTATGCTCCCAAAGAGCCCAAAGCCTTTGTATGTAGTAAGAACCCAATAAATAAATTGAATTTCAGTGTTGCTAAACTAAAAATTCTAACCCAAGAAAACAATCCTAAACCATTGAGCATACTAAGTTTTCAGTAATAGCAAACAAGCTACAAGAAAAACAAAAGTTAACTGATGAGTTCTGGTGATATTTTATTTGGAAAATGATAAGCATCACTGATTTTTAAGATTTTTTTTCTTTTAAATGGTACACTAATTAGACAAAAGGTAGTCCTAGATAAAAGTATTTACATACTCAATACAAAATAAATACACAACAACTGAAAAGCAAATCTTTATCCATTGATTCATTTTGCATTCCCACTGTTCACCTTCTGGTTCATTTTTCTTTGCCTTTTGTAAATCCTTTTTTTTCTTGCTTTCAAATCGACTTTTGGCTCTGGTTTTACCCACTGTATTTCTATTGGTTTTTTCTCAGCTGGTGTAACAAAAACATCTTCAGTGGGATCATGTGGAAGAATAGTCTTTGGCTCTTTCTTTCGCAGTTTTTGCACATCTTTCACTTGCTGTTTCTCTTTGTATTTTGCAGCTGTGATAGATCTTACGATACGCCGATGCTAGAAACAACAAAGATTAGGTGGTTTTGTAATAAACATTTTATATAAGGCAGACATTCACTTAGGAACTCTGTTCCTTCACCCAGTGTCATGAGAAAAGGTAGTAATTCACAGGTATATACATAACAAAAACCAAACCTGGTTTCACAGTTTTAATAATTACTTTAAGAAATTATTTTGGTCACAGAGTTCTGGTACATTGAAGACCACTAAACAACAACAAAAAAGCTTACCATGTTTGGTGACTGGTAGTGAGGATTTTCATATAAAGTTGGTCCTCCAAAACTTCCTTGAAAAATCTTTATAAGATTCAAGACAAAACGAGGTCCTATTTCTACAAGAGCAGCATCTTCTTCTATGATCTTTAACAGAAGGGAAAGATTCATTTTGGTTTGGATGTACAACTCAAAACTGGATATACCCTCATTACAAATGTGCTAAAACAACTGATATTCAGTAAAATTAAGGTAGAGAAATGGAGAAAACTCGGCAAGTGCCAAATCATCAATATTTTCTGAATCTATTACTAGTTACAGGAGATTGTTCTGGGAAAAATACATATGTTTTCTCAATATGATCTTTAAAAATTGACTAATCTGCTGGAAGCAGTGGCATACCTATAATCTCATCCGCCCAGGAGGCTGAGGCAGAAGGATCACAAGTTCAAAGCCAGCCCAATGCAACTTATCAAGACCTTGTCTCAAAAACAAAACAAGAATTAAAAAAACAACACTTGGGGATAGGGTTCAGTGGTTAAGCACCTCTGGGTTTAAACCTAATACCAAAAAAAGAAAAAAAAGTTGACTAATCTGAATTTGTTTCACATCTTGCTTCTCACAAACATTAACACTGTATGTTGGTTCAGGTATGTCTGCCCTCAGAGGTTAAGAATGGAATATAGTTAATTCATATTGCAAGGAGTCTTATATAAAACACACAGGTAAGAGTCCATATGCTGTTTCAAATTTTGTTCTTGCTGCTGTCATTCACTTCTCCATCTTTCTGCAGACTTATTCTACCAAATTTCTGCTTCAAGATTTCAAGAATCACCTCTTCTGAATGAGTCACAGTGAGACTCATCTAATAGTTCTCATTGAATGCTTTCAGAAGACAGAAGTCATGTTTGTCTGTCTTAACTCCTCCTTGCCCCTTGGATAGATAGTAACCTTTGGAAGAAAAACATATTTTCTTGTATTCTTTACATAAATTCTTTAGCAAAAATTTGGAACCCTAATTACACCAGAGATTTTCCTTTTTTTAATGCAGTACTGGGTATTGAACTCAGGTGTACTCGGCCACTGAGCCACCTCCCCAGCCTTATTTTGTATTTTATTTAGAGACAGGGTCTCACTGAGTTGCTTAGCACCTCACTTTTTTGCTGAGGCTGACTTTGAACTTGTGATCCTCCTGCCTCGGCCTCCCAAGCCACTGGGATTATAGGCGTGTGCCACTGCACCCAGCAAGATTTTCCTTTTTATAAAAATGAAACATAACAATGGTTTGTGAACAAACCTGCACTCCATATTAACTCATGATCATGAAAAGACGAAGAAAGAGATCACTGACAGAGTAATAGACAATTATTTATTTGCAGTAAACCTCTGAGAAGGAAATAAGGCTATTTAAAACAAAAGGACTTACAGGTTGCATTTTCTATGTCTACAAATAATCCCACATATGTTACTTAAATCTATAATTTAAAAGCAAAGTAAAGCTAACCTGAAAGTTCCGAAACCATATTCTGTTATCCAAAATGGTGAAAGTAAACACATGGTCCACAAATGGTTGGCTTTTGGGATGATATCTGGGTGTACTAAAAATCTAGTTAAAAAAAAAAAACACATTAAATACTTATCACAAGGCGTATATGTATTTTTTTTTTGAGAGAGAATTTTTTAATATTTATTCTTTAGTTTTCAGCGAACATGACATCTTTATTTGTATGTGGTGCTGAGGATCGAACCCAGCGCCGCACATGTCAAGCGAGCACACTACCGCTTGAGCCACATCCCCAGCCCTTTATAAATGTTTTTGATAAGTAAGTTAATAAAAAGTCTAAACTCAGAAGGCTGAGAATCAAAAGTTCATCACCAACCTGGGCAACTTATAAAAAGACTAGGCATCTTGGTAGTAGAGCTGCCCTGGATTCAATCCCTAGTATCAGACAATCATACAAAAAAGTCCAAAGGAAGAGAGTCATTTCTTACTAAAAATGCTTTCTAGGAAAGATATTTACCTGAATTAAGAGTTCTTTTAACAATGAATAGTGTGACAATTCATCAAAAGCCTACAAAAATGAAAAGAACATATTATTTGACACTAGTAGAATGCAAAACTTAAAATTTTTCTTTATATTAACTAAACCTAATTATATACACAACTATATCTACTAAAAAACAGCTATGCAAAATAAGAAAATCAGACACTGTATGAGAAACTTACAGGGTCAAAAGACAAAAGGGGCCGAGAACCTTTCAAACAATTTCCTGTCAGCTTTAATTCAGCCAGGGTATGAACTAGAAAAATTAAAACAAAAATAAAAATAGTTGTAATTTTGACTCATTATTCCAAATGATTATTCATTTTTTCTTTAAAAAATAAAACTGAGTTAACTTACTGTTTTGAACAAGGAATTTGGCAGATGGCCCATGAGGTGAATTTGAAAGCCTGGAATATATGAGGAAAACTTTTAGAATTTAGAATATAGTATATGCTTACCACCTATTCATGAAAAGATACCATAATATGCTTACTGAAATATTAAATTTTCTTTAAAGGCTTCAAATTATGTGAAATCAAATGAGTTTGCTTCATTCTTCCCTCTTTTACGTAAAAAACTGAAAGGATTCTATTGCATACGAGGTACAAAGAGAAGCCCATTTAAGTTCAATGCAAATCTTAATAATAATCCTCTTACCACATATAGAGATCCTGTTTTTTCTTAGCTTCAAAATAGATGCATTTATTGCAGTTTTTCATTTCACAGACCTAAATGAAGCAAAGTACAGAAAAATGTATATGATACAAGTGAGAATGTAATTAGTGCAAGTCAAACAAATTTCTCCAAAAACATTTAAGCAAATTAATAGGCCCCAAGGTCTATACCTAGGTGAATTTATTCTTTCCAGAAATATTTAAAGTTCCTCTTGGGTAGGATATCTCAAAGAGTTTTCTGAGCAACTCTTTGGTAGACGTATCTATCCTACTCTGTTTGGCCTAGCATTTTAAAGCAACTGGTCTCACTTTTTGATTATTGGTACTTCTTCCAACCACAGTCCTATTTCCAAATACAAAGACTGAAAATAAATGCCCTAAAGATAAGGCACACAATTAAACACATCAATCTTATGAATATACCATCCTTATAGAATCAATGCTTTTATAGTGGTTATTTTACCCTCAACTTCTTAGGTTTTTTATTTTAAATTCATAAAATTCAAGTTTTTCCTCCTCATTTACACTTATCACATTTCTTGATGATCTTGTTCTATAAAATCATTATAGGATTGGTGAAAAGCAAAACCACGTAAAACCTACTCCAAGTTGAACTGGACTTCAACATCTTGAAGGTTTACAAAGTAACCCTTAAGGAAATACACAAAACACAAGAGCAAACTCTTGTATTATGTTGATATACATAAACTCAAGCTATCCAATATGATATTCATAAATTACTTGAGACTTTAAACCTAGCAACTTTAAAAAAAATATTAGGCCCAATGCTTTTGTATCATAAAATTACTGGTCTCAGAATAAATAACATTAAGTCTGTGCCACTTCTAGGCCTCTGGACTTGTTTTTTTTAATTTTTTTTCCTACATAGCATGTTCTTCCACACATATTTCTACTTAAGTCTCTACTCAAATATTAAGTTGAACAGCATTCCTTCAGAAAGGCCTTTCCAGTTTAGGTAAGTTGTCAAAAACCCATATGTGGCTTTACTTCTATCTCCTTGAAAATTACAAATTTTCTCTTTCCTCTTTGAAATTATAAATTTTGTTTATGGCCCACCTTGTTAGAATGTAAGCTCCACAACAGCAGGGGTAGTATTTTGGTAAACAATGATTCCATAATACACAGAATAATATTAGAGCAGAGATTTAAAAATTTGTGCTAAATGAGTAAATAAAAGAAGCTTTCTAGTGAAAGAACTATCTTAAAACAATTATTTTGAAAACTATTCTTTCAAATACAGGTTTAATATCTTCAATAATATTTTAACCTACTTCTAGTTTATACTATTTAAGAACAAATCTCATATATATCACTTTTTTGGCACAATTATTTTTATAATGTGGATTTCCTATAAATATTCAGTGACTTTTATTTTATACAGATTGGTTGATAATTTTTATGAATATCTACTATGAATTTTGTACAATATAGACATTATGAAAGAAAGCAAATGAGGTATCTTTGTCTTCAGGAAATTTCATTATGCTTGTTGAGACACAATAAACAAAGAATTTAGAAATAATATATACTGAAGCATTAAAATGTGAGATATAGGAAGTACTATAAAAACATAACAGGTTATTGAAGTGTAAAAATTTGAATATTCTCATAAAACAAGTTTAAAGTCATCAAATAATTGACTTATATTTTAATAAGGCATTGTTAAACTTTCTAAAATATTTTGCTATAGTTTCTAAACTTACCTCATTAATCACAAATAACTTATCTTTACGATCCATTTTAGTATCTATAAAAAGAAAAAAACTAAGTAAATGAAAGATTTCAAATCTATTTCAATAAAATCACATATTACCTAGGAAACAATTTCTGGTGTTTTTGTACTGTTTTGCAAAGAGATTTTTACAATTAATTTTCAAAATAATCAGACCCGAGAATAAACAACCTTTGATTGATTCCTTTTAAATATGAAGAAAACAAGTAATTAAAAACTAGACCTCAAGAATCATTAACAGTGTTTTAAGCAGTTTCTCAGGCTCTAGGTACAGTATCCAAGTAGGACTGGTCTATATCCAAGGACGATTGATTATAGGACCCAGTGCACATACCAAAATCTATAGATGCTCAAGTTCCTTATATAAAACCATGTAGCCGACTGCATAAAACCTAGGCACATCCTCTTGTATACCTGAAATTATCTCCAGATTACCTATAATACCTAATGCAATGTAAAAGCTATATTAATAATTGTTATCCTATATTGTTTAGGAAATAGTGACATTAAAAAAGTCTGAGTATATTCAGTAGTTTTTTCCCTGAATATTTTCATTCTGCAGTTAGTTGAATCTACAAATGGAGAAGCCAGGGGTCCAGATGGTTATAGTCTATGAACCCTTTTCAAAAATGGGAAAATTCCCAAACTGAAGATTATATCCAAGGAGCCATTCAAGAAAACATTCACTTAAGAGAGCAAAAATATTAACCAATGACAATATCTTTTAATATCAAATCACAGTTGTCAAAGAAAACTTTTAAAAAATGATTTTGGTTATCATAGAAAAATTATACAAATTAAAATTTCTCTTATTAGTTTCAGAGATATGAAGACATTAAAGCCTACCCCAGTTCAAGTAGCACTGGTATAAAGGACCAAGCTATTAGCTAGAATTAAAACCAAAAGCATCTCCCAACACAGACACAAAGCATTGTAATGAAGACATTCCTAGACTGTTTTGAAAAATGTTTCAATGTTAGGGTACCTATGTAAGAAAGTGAACATCTATTGATTTCTATAAAGATTCTTATGAAATATTCATTTAATAAATTGTGGTACTTGAGGATACACTTTTGAGGTACTCTCATTCTCTGTTTAACCAGATGAACAAATGAAGAGAAAATACATAAATAACTGTAAATATATAAATATGCAAGTTTATAAATACAATTTCTTAAAATACTTGCTATAAAGGTACCTGCTTTAGAATGAGGCATCAACATTCTCAAGTCCTGCATTAAATGTCTTGTTCTGAAATTTATTCCTCTAGAAGAAAAAATGAGAATCCGTTCCTTATTCTTCCATTTGCCCTAAAGAAAAACAAAATGTTAAAAGATCTTAAATCTTGTACTGAACCTATTTTTTTTTTTGGTACCAGAGATTGTGCCTAAGGCTGCTTAATCACTGAACCACATTTCCAGCTCTTCTCCATTTTATTTATTTTTGTTTGTTTGCTTTATATTTAAATTTGAGTTAGGGTTTCACTAAATCCTTAGAACCTCACTAAGTTTCTGAGGCTGATCTCTAACCTGTGATCTTCCTGCCTCAGCCTGTGGAGTCTTGCTGGGATTACAGGCACAGAGCCACTGCCCCCAGCATCTTGTTTTTTAAAGATAGTTTTAAAAGCTTCCAGAGGTGGGTATGATGGTACATGCCTGTAGCTTCAGCTACTAAGGAGGCCAGGGCAGAAGATAAAAGTCCAACAGTTAGTGATCAGCCTGGGCAACAAAGTGAAACCCTGTTTTAAAAACAAAAAACAAATTAAAAATAGTAAGCCAAACATTCACAACTCTTTTTTTCAATCTCTTTATAACATTTACTGAGCACATCTGCTACCCAGAAATGCCCTCCTTCTTTCTTTCCTTTTCTGTTCTTCATTTTCATTCTTTTCAATTCCTCCTCCCAAAATTCTAAAGTTTTTGTTTTTCTCAGTCTCCTTTTTTGTAAAAAATTGTTTTTCTCTCCATTGGAGAACTTATTCCTATATTCTCTACAGAAAGGAAATCTCTTTTGCCCTAATAATCCAAGTATTTGACTAAAGCCTGAAACTCAACTCGCAATACTATAATATTATCTTATCCCTTAAATCTAGTAAACTTCCTTGCCATTTCTTTTTTTGATGTTATCATCATTTCAGTCCCCCAGACTCTGAACCTTCCATTTGCACTTATTTTCTTATATTATCAGCATTGCTGAATGCTGTTAATTTCTCTTTGCAACAGATCTTAATTCTTTTCTCATTTACAGTGTCCTTACTTAGATCCTTTTAATCTTGTATGAAGGGCAAATCTCCTAAATGGCTAGCCTTCCCAGAAACAAGTTCCTCCAATAGATATGGCAGACTAGCCAGTTTAAAACACTGTTGGAATCACAATCTCATCTCCCAGAGTTTTCCAAAGTTGAAAATGACATAGCTTTAAAGTTGTATTTTAAAATAAACTTTCACTTTTTACAACCTGTATCAATCCTACACTTCAATCTGGTTCTGCTTTTAGATTTTCAGTATTTCCCACTTCAACACCTTTGGCTAGTTCTTTTTTCTTTCCCTTGGACTGTTTCCTTTCATTTTGAACATCAAAATCCTACACTTTAAGATAGGCACAGTTGTGCAAGTCAGTAATCTCAGCAGCTTGGGAGGCTGAGGCAGGAGGAGTTCAAAGCCAGCCTCAGCAAAAACAAGGTGCTAAGCAACTCATGGTGAGACCCTGTCTTAGGGCTGGGGATGTGGCTCAGTGGTCAAGTGCCGCTGAGTTCAATCCCTGGTACCCCACCCCCCAAAACAAATAAACAAAACAAAACAAAACACGTTACCCTTTAAGATCCAATTCAACATTAAGTCTCATAATTTCTATCTTATTATCCTAGGATAAAAATAAGCTCTAGCTCCAGTGTTTCACACAATGCATAACTCAAGGCCATAGATTCTGTCATATTTCTTTCCAGCTCCTCAAAGGAAGAGTGAGAGCACTAACATTTACTGAAAATCTACCAGATTTTTCTCTGGCTTACTTTTCCCAAAAAGTTTTTTCATCCTCTGAAATGGGCAAATAACAGCACAGGACGTCACTGTCTACTAATACGGAGGGCTATTAATTCACACTCCTCTTTCATTCCTTACAATCACTCTTTTCCCCGGATCTTGCCATCATACCACACAGGGTCAGGGCTTGAGTACTCTGCTAGGTGCAGAAAACACTGAAACTAATAAAGACAATCCTTGTCTCCACAATATTCCACCTGGCTCAAGGAGCTTTCAGTTGAATGAAAGTTAACTCCAACTAGAACTTGTGCTCATTTTCCTTTAAATAAAATCTATCCATTTCTATGAATTCTTCATTTCCTTTTAAATTCCAAAATTTCAGGAAAAGGTCACGTTCTAGTCATCTTTGCAATATCAAATGCCAGGGGAAGCCTACCTCGAACACTACAAGGCACATCAAAAGTTTGTGAAAGGCCAGCGGGTGGAGCCTGTCTGTAATCTCAGCGGCTCCGGAGGCTGTGTTGAAACCCAGCCTAGGTAACTCCGCCAAACCAAAAAGGGGCGGTGATGGCTGGGGACGTACTGATGAATGGTTCAGCACCCCTGGGTTCAATCCCTGGTACCAAAATAAAAAGTTTATTGAACACAGACAAAACTCATGCTATCTATCCTAATTTTCATTCCTGAATTAAACACCTGTTCAAATAAGTCCGAGTCAATCCCCCAGAAAAACATCCCAGTTTAGATAACACGCTTCAGAATCCCTGAATAACACTGGCTGACTATTGTGGATGTGAAAGTACCAACCGCAGGAAAATATATTCCCTATAGCAAGAAATAAATAAGGAAAAGCATTTTGCTAGAAAAAGCCTGAGTAACTGGAAAACAGAATGCTAAAACTGAGCACCCCGTTGAGTTGGGTAAGAAATCTACAAACTGCCGCCTCCGGGAAGACGGCCACGTGCGCCAGGATTAAAAATAAACAATGCCCAGTTCAGCCCAGCAGACCGTTGAGACCGCTCCGGGGTAAAACTCGGGATACTCAGGAAACAGCAGATCTGTAGTTAGCCCCAAAGAAGGCGCATGGAGCCGTCCTCGCAGGTGTAACCCCGGAGCAGCTCTTCTACCTTGCAAACGGGACCTGGGATACGGTCTTTCTCTTCTTCCTCCACCTCTTCTGCCTTGACGGGCGACTTAGATAAAGACTTGGCATCTTTTTCGTTTCTTTTTGGCTTCTTCGCCTGAACCGCCAAATCCCCACGCCGTTTCCTCTTGGTTGCCACCATCTTGCCTCACCGCCGTAGCTCTCTGAAGTACTTCCGGGCCGGCCGCTCGCTTCTTTTTCCGGTCTCTATGTTACCATGCGCTGGGCTCTGCAGTCCTATTCCACTCTATGGTGCCTCTTTCCGGTCTCGGCTTTCTAGGCCTCCTTCAGCTCTGTGGTGACGGTGGCCGAGGTGTCAAGCGGATCTGAAAAGAGTGGCGGGATTCCCTTTTCTTCCTTCGTGGTTTCCTGGCTGGGAAGAGCTCTCAGGCGCCTGACCTACCGCAAAGGTAGGATTTCCATGCCTTGGGCTTTCTCCACTAGTGAGGGGCGGGTGTTCTGTGGGTTGGTGAATGGGGTGACGGGTTTTTGGAGAGTCTTCGGAGCTGACGCTCGGCGGCTGGCCAAGGTCTGTGGGTATATCCGGGTTTGACTGTGGAACCGACCCCAAATGCAGTTACTGTATCCGTTGTTTATTTCATGGTTACAACTTCAAATATCTCTGGCCTCATACCGAAGACGAGGAACCCGTAGCTCTGAGAGATTAGTAATTCCCCCCGCCCCGCCACCCAGGTAAGGGACGGTTTAGTGGCGGAGGCGGGGCTCAGCCTGATGCGTCCAGTTGAGCTCCGGGGGCCCTTCCAGCCCGCACCAGCGTGGCTAGGGATCGCGGGGCCTTGCCTGCGCTGATGCGGCTTACTGTTGACTCTTTCAGGCGTTTCCTGATCCTCGGGCGCAGTGTTGGCCCCAGCATCGAGAGCTTACCCTCGGGGCCGAATGAGCAGTGGACCATGCCCCTCCTAACCCAACAGATCCAAGATGAGAATGAGAACAGCTTAGTGGCCAGCCTTGACAATGTCAGGAATCTCTCTACTATCTTGAAAGCTATTCATTTCAAAGACTTTGCCACATGTTTCGCTACTAAAAATGGAATCAAGGTTACAGTGGAAAATGCAAAGTGTGTGCAAGCAAATGCTTTTATTCAGGTATGGGAAAAAAGGCACCTGTGAAGCCTGTGACATGCTCTTCACCCAGTTTAATGAATTCAGAAAGTCTCACTAGACAAAATTTAAGTAGAGAACAAAATGTCATTATTTTTTTTTTAATCTTCTGGTAACAAATTCTTTTCCTATCTTGTCTTTCAGAGATAATGGTTAATAGTGACTGGTTTATTAATCTAAACTCTAGGACACTCTCTTCTAAGTATTTAACTCCTTTAATCCTCACAATACACCTATATAAGGTAGGCTTTGTTATTATTCCCATTTTAAATACATGGAAACTGAGGCACAATAAAAGCAGTTTACCAGAGTCTTATAGCTGGTAAGTAGGTTTGGGATGAAAATGTTTTTTGTTCTTTACTATTACATTATTATTACCTCCCTATTATTAAAAGATGTTTTTTACTTTTATTGGTGATAACACGATCTGTCCTTAAAAAGTAATAATTATATGGATCAGATTCAATTCAGCATGTTTCTGAACACTTAAGTGCACAGTATGGCCTCAGAGATGGAGAAATAAATAAGATATGGTTCCCCAAAAGATACTGAAAACTAATGCATATGTTATAAAATTATCTATTTTCTAAGTGATCTTACCCATGCTGATAAACAGGAAAAGGAGACAAAGGAACAGGAGATAGATTTTGATCCAGGAATGGAAATGAAGGACCCATTACAAGGCTTTGCCATGGGATCTGTATCACTGTTACACCTTTGATATTAAGCTATCGAGTAGTGGTCTAATAGGTATAATTGAGAAAACTAAGATGTTCTCCTTAGTAATCAGAAATCCTCACGGCATTAGCACAATATTGTCATTTTTAAAACATTTAAAGTGAAAACTAGAATCTACCTCATATTTCATTCTTTAATATAACTCCATTTTCATGTTTATTCTTTGTAGGCTGAAATATTTCAAGAGTTTGTGGTTCAGGAAGAGTCTGTTACTTTTCGAATTAATTTAACAGTCCTTTTGGACTGCTTATCTATTTTTGGATCAAGTCCTATGCCAGGTGAATCATTTCATTTGTCCTTATAAAAACATATAGTATTATACAGAATGATCAGAAAAATATAAGTTCTTTAGATATACATAATCATTGTTTTTTTAGAAAATTAGTTGGCAATACATTTTTCAATGGTCACAATCATCCATTATGACTTATTCCAATATTAAGTGACTTTTCATTCAGTAAGGAGAAAAAGCTAAACTGTCTTATCATATTTCTCCTTTAATGGTTTTGAATACCAAAATTCATACCATCATTAGTCACGCTCTTTTCTCCCAATTTCATCTTAAAATTTGAAGAAATGTAAAGACTATCTCCCAGTAGTAGTTGGAAGAATTCTTAAGAGTTGAATACACTGACATTATAAGTAGACATTAAAGTAATGCACTGTTGCTGAAATTTGAACCTTCAAGAAATAGCATAGCCTATACTGCAACAATTGTGTTACTTGTCAAGTTAGTCCATGGATAGATTCTCTGTCCTGTAATGGGTGTGTGTGTTTGTGCATATGATCAGTGAGCTATTTCTGAGGTATTTTGGGCAAGCTAATATTGATTTCAGAAATTTACATTTTGCTCTGTTTCCCAATCTTGCAATTTTTAAGGTTATAATTTCTTTTAAGGAGATACGCATATGATAGAAATTTGGCAGAATAAATCAGAAAATATTCTTAAGGAATTTAGTCTGTCTTTGGAGGAGAAGCTGAACACAGAGCCATAAAGACAAACCAAGTATGATTTCTTTCTGTTGCAGGGACTTTAACTGCACTTCGAATGTGTTACCAAGGCTATGGTCACCCTTTGATGTTATTTCTGGAAGAGGGAGGAGTGGTAACCGTCTGCAAAATCAATACTCAGGAGCCTGAGGAGACTCTTGATTTTGATTTCTGTAGCACCAATGTTATTAATAAAATTATTCTGCAGTCAGAAGGGCTCCGTGAAGCATTTTCTGAATTGGATATGACAAGTGAGGTCCTCCAGATCACCATGTCTCCTAATAAGCCATATTTCAGGTACTTGAGAGAAGTTATGGTTCATGTGGTCTGTATTTCCTTTCTCCATTTACACACTGCAGAGGTTGCAGAATTTTTATTACCCAAGTTCCTAGAACTTCCAGAACTTTAGGGAACTATTGTTCTTCCCTCATAATTTTAGACCTTTAGAAACTTAAAACCTAAGAAGTTAAGATTTCATATTTGGTTGTGTTGGTTTATAGATGAAAAGCTGACTCTCTTAATCCATAATCTAGTGGCCTTTTCATTCTGTTACTATTTACTGTTGTAGATTAGGCCATAACATGAGGGAAACTGGGTCTAAATATTTGGAAAATGTATTTGTATTATATGGTATTTTTTCTCTTTTTAGTGCAAGATACAAAAGAAAATAGATATTTCTGATATATAGTTTATTTACTCAGTATCTGTTGAGTACTTAACGTATACATATCTCTCTTAAGATTATGGGAGTAACAGCTTAAAATTAAGGTGAAGAGAAAATATGTCAAACAACAGAGAAAGAACAAAACTGCAGACCACTGAGTACCAAAATAATATTCAAAAATGCTTGAGTAAATAGCACATGCATATACCACTCAAGAGAGCAGTGGCCAAGGTAATTTCCAGCAGGAATACAATGTTAAAATGATAAAGCTGCTCCAAAATATTTATTCTCTTTTAAAACATTTCAGAATATTGAAGAGTAAAAGAACTAAATGCATATGGAATAAAAGGTATATGCTCTTTTTGTGTCAAGTTTCGAAGAATCACAGGTCCTTTTAGTGGCATTAGGCAGATAAAAATTTGGCTTAAGCTGTGTTAAATGGTAACCAAAATGTTAATCATTGAAAGCCAATTAACCAGTATGACAGAGGCTCCCCTTCTAAATAGCCTCTGTCTGCATGGGTAACTAGATGAATCATGGCATCTTTCATTGCCAGCGTGGGAAACAGTTGTTAGTCGGGAGGTGGGAGTTAAAATTTTTGTTCTGGATATGTTAGAATTTGAGGTGCCTGTGACACTGCTGTACCAGCAGTACAGCACTCAGGAAATCAGTCTACACTGCAATTTAGATTTGAAAATCATCGTCATTGCTGGAATGACGCCTAAGCACAAGACATTCAGAGAAAGGTTTTGTTAGAAAAAGAAAAGATGGATCCTGGGAAAAGCAATATCGACAAGATTTGGAGTGGAGATGGAGCTTGGGGAAAACTTACACCAAGGTCTGATCACTGTGCTCATGTTGTACTTATCAATGTGCTGACCCATAGGAAATGCTAAACAAGTTCTTACAAATTAAATCAACATATAAACATTTTAAATTGCCTAAATATAGCTGCTAATGTTACCAAGGAAGGAAAGCCATAAAACTCTCAAGAGCAGTCCAAGATGCAGAAAAACATTGTGACAATAAAGATTGGGAAATGGTACCCAAACATTGCAATTGATTTAGATCAAGGTCTTCCATCATACTCCATTTCTCATTTCTGTTATGTATTTCTAGGTTTATGGATAAGGAAAAGTCAGTGTCAGAGTCGGATGTATAGACTGATGTGACTGTCTTCAAATTAGTTATTAGTTGCAATTACCTGTACTCCCACAGCATCCTGTGGGAACCTTTATTATGATGCTTCTTAAAGTATGATATAAATATTTGTTTTATATGTCTCTTTCATCATAAGTATGAGCTGCTAGAGGAAATGATTTCTTTATTTGGATCTGAATGTTGCTTATTGTTGGACCAGTGAGTAAATGCTCATTTTCCACTATAGGTTATCTACTTTTGGAAATGCAGGAAGCTCCCACCTTGATTATCCCAAAGATTCTGATTTGATGGAAGCATTTCATTGTAATCAGACCCAGGTTAACAGGTCAGTTCCTAATATAGAGGTTGTTATTAGTGATAAAGATGAAATACTTGTTTATTTATTTGTATGGGGGGGGGTTGAACCAGAGGCACTTTACCACTGAGGTATATTCCCAGCCCTTTTAATTTTTTTAGTTTGAGATAGGGTCTTGCTAAGTTGTTGAAGGGCTCATTTGGTTACTGAGGCTGACCTTGAACT